AAACGTTTCTAAAGTGACACATCCTTTACCTCATTGGCACCACTGAACAGGGGTTCTCCAGTGTGCATTTCAACCAGAATACACCCGAGGGACCACATGTCGATAGCAAGGTCATAAGGCATTCCCAGTAGCACCTCTGGAGACCGGTAAAAGCGACTCTGAATATACTGGTATATCTGAAATATATTTCAAAATAGTATTAATTTTAAAATATGTTTTGTTTAGAATTTCAGACATCATTTGATTAAGAATGCTGATCTGTTATTAACGGGGGGGGGGCTGAAAAAATTTCTGAATTAGGGTTCTACTTACACTGACTTAGACATTTGACCTTATGAATATTGTTTAATGAACTAAATATTTCAAGGTATTGGTTTATCTGATGGTGAAATGCAAAGTGCAAGCCCTCTCATTTAGTCCAACCCTAACTGGTAATTAAGGTACATTTAAAACAAATAATTACACTTTATTTTAAAAAAGTATTGAGAGTATTTCACTTTCCTATTGATTATTCTTTCCTGCTATGGTTTGTCACTAACTTGATAGCAAAACTTAACCTGAAGAAGTATCTCAGCATTAAGAATCAAATTACCTCAGCACAATGTAATTTAAAATTCAGACATTTGTCCTGTACTAGTCTCACTGATAAATCCGAGCAAAGCCGCTACAGAAAGATTCAAATGGAGGTTGAATCACTTCTGCTCTGCCCTGCCCCTCCATCTCAACCCAAGCCTTCTTAGAAAAAGAACATCTGTATTGAAATGGATCGTTTTCAATGACATCATCTTGGAAGACCAATTCATCTTCACTTAGCCACTGTAAATTTATATCTAAAAATATCATTAAAACAAGGGAAGTTTCATTAAGAGAGAGAGAGAGAGAGACAGAAAGAAAACTCTCATAATTAAACTCCCAAACTAACACCCAAACCACGCGGCCAGCCAGGGTGGCCCCACCTGAAACTCCAGCCAAGTCGCCCACACTCTCCTGCCTCCACAGGCTCTTCCACCCACCGGAGGTTACAAGAAGAAACTCTAACTCAAAAGAACAAGGAAGAAGGACTGTATGTCCAGGCTTTTATATGCCAACACCACTGTTAAACCTCCTAGGCCCAAAAACACGCCTCAGTACTATGACTAACTTATGCAAGGAAGTTTGTCGCCTACATATCCAGTCTGGTTAAAGCAGTGGCTGGGGGGTCCTCTACAAGACTGAGGAGCTTATTCTAAAACACACTTGTCCTGCCACCTTCTGGTTCTGACCCAGTAGCTGTAGGTAGGGGAAGGCCACTGCATATATATTTTGGAAATGACTTTCTCTGAGACTCTGAAGCGTGCGCATGGTTAAAAACTCCCTGAGCTAAATGGGTAGTTGTCTCAGTTTGGCTGGACAGAGATAGTAGTGTTTGACATTAGGACAGAATATTGATATTAGGACAGAATATATGATTTGGTTTAGGAAAAAAAAATTCTCCAAGTCTAAAATCTATTTAAATTACCCTCAAGGTAGGTGTGTGTTTTCCATTCACAACACTTTATTCCATATTCACATAACTATGAGCATCCCTAAATTCAGAGGCTTAGAACCTTTTAAACTGCAAACTTTGCTTTCTACTCCTTCAACTTTTAAAAGTTTTATCAATGATCATATGTTAATTTGCAGAAAAAAACAAAAATGAGATAATCCTGTTAACTGGCTATAAACCTTCATGATTAACCTGCTGTATTTAGAACCTAGACAAAAAATTGAACAGCAGTGGAAAAAGAACAAGAAATAGAAAAACCAGTAAGAAACAGTAACCTCTCAATGTTAGTTTATTTTTTAAAGAAATGCAGTTTCATTACTTTCAAGTAAATAAAGCAGTGTTAAGAATAGTATCGAAAGGTGAGTCTAACTTCTTTTAACGGAACAACTTATACTTTCTATTTTACATGCAAAAGATGCTAGAAAGAATGGTCAGAAAAACTGCTTTTCCTAAACAGCTAAACTTCATCTATTTATTGCAACTGATTACGGCTTTTTCCAGCAGTCTGAATGAAACCAGTTTGACACATCAAGAATTTACATAAACTGTAAATCGGTGGGGGAAAAAAAGATTTAAACTTATTTATCAAAATAAATATGTCTATTGACAATGTAACTTCTACGCTATCCCTGGTGACACAGTGGTTAAGCGCTCAGCTGCTAACCAAAAGGTCGATCTGCTTCCATAAAGATTACATCCTTCGAAACTCTATGGGGTAGTTCTACTCAGTCCTGCAGGGTCTCTATGAGTGAGAATCGACTCGACGGCAATGCGTTATGGTTTTAAAGATAAATTACCTGAATATTTTAATGAGGTTTTTTTTTTTTTCTCCCGGAAAAACATTTATCTTGAGCTGTCTTTAGAGAAGTATTTTAAAGCAAGTATTCAATGTTCTTGTACTGAAATTCCCATAAATTTATACTAAAACCTCTATTTGGAAAATATAGGTATAAATCACCTAGTATTTAATTCTTGCATCTCTTATTTTCTTAGTATACATATAATTTTAAATATATCCACTTTGAACAATCAATATTTTTTAATTCAAAGCATTACTATTTGCATTTTAAAAGATGTAGACATCAAAACAAGGTGAATCAAGAGTCTACATTTTAAGATAAATAACCATAATTGTCTATGCATTATTAGTAACATTTCAAGTATCCACCTACACTGTTTTACCTAATCCCACTTTAATTCACAAACCATGAAATAATACTTACCCTCTGCCCCAATTGACAAGAACTGCCAAAGTCAACAATCTTGATTGCACTGCGTTTAGGGTTACAAAGAAGGATATTCTCCGGTTTTAGGTCACAGTGAATGATACTAAGTTCTGGAGTCGCAAGAAAAAGCAGTGCAGTGCACATCTGTTGTGCAAACTTTCGTGTTAGGTTCAAAGAGACACCTCGAAAGTTGGTGTTCCTCAACAAGTCATAGAGGTTGTAGGACAGCATTTCAAAAACTAAACAGAGATGGTTCCGAAACATAAAGTGGCGCTTCAAATGCACTGAAAGAGACAAGAGTTTTGTTTTGAATGATACACACCAATAAAGCTCAGAGTAACGTGTGCATGTGTTCTCAAAATAATCTAAAACACTACAATGTCAAATGTACAGTAAAATCAAGTTAAAGCTTGGCAATCAGCATTCTGCAGTAATAGCACATTCTTTAATCAGCTGAGAATAGCAAAACTACTTTTCTGCTGAATTAAACAGCTACAGCGTCTGTCAGTAAGAGATATATTGTGAGAAGTACCACTAAAAACTAAGTCAGGTCTGAAAACACGAGTAGCAAACTGATAAACAGTAAAGGTTTTAAGATGCAAACGGTATTACTACGTATTATATTAACTACAGAGAAGAATAAACTACAGAAGAAAAATTAATAGTACAAGCTCATTTTTACTCTAACAACAGGGAATGAAGAGTGTCTTATGAATGATATCTAATCAGAATATTTGAAGCTTAAACCTTTAAACACCAATTTCTGTTTCAACTATTTTGGGGGGACTAAAGAACCATAGTGCACTCTTCTCATTTCCTAAAAGTAGTTTGCTAAATAACTTCAACCTTACATTTACCAGATAAAGCTGGCATTTTTGAACATGAATTACTAAGTATCTATGCCTATAGGAACTTCCATAATTCACTAATCCTAAAGTCTGTATTTCAAAAATTGATAGTGTCCTACAACTCTATCTGGCAGCAATTTTTTTCCTGTGGTAGTACATAAATTGGTGTCGTACAATCACTGACATCTTAGACTTGATTAAAATTAGTATTATAGAAGGTATAATTAGAAGATGTTTTGTGCATATGTCAACTGGCCCTAGGCTTCAGTATTTTCATAAGTCTCTGGTCTCCTTTTTGTTTTCAGAAGGAAGATCATGAGACAAGGAAACAAACACGTGCTTTCGAATTAGGGAGAGGTCAGTTGAGATCCTAGCTCCAGAGCCCTGTAATGTTGGACATGTAACTGCTTGACCAAACCATCTGTAAAATAAGGATACTACTGCTCCTCCTTTTAGGACTACTATGATTACTACAGATGATGGAAGAAAAGCCCAAGGAATATGGTAGGAGCTCAGTAAATGGTGGCTTTTACCTTTTTTATTATTGTAAGTCTAACGGCTTCTAACGCTGCCAAACTGGCAGATAACAGCCTGGGGAGGAGCCTGAGATCTGGGCTCAGACTTCCAAAAATGGTTCTCATATCCATTAAAAACATACTGGCTTACTTCGAGTTTCTGAGCTGTATTAGAAATGGGTAAAGTTACCAGGAGTCCCTGGGTAGTGCAAACGGTCAAAAACTTGACTACTAGCTGAAAAGTTGGTGGTTCAAACCCACCAAGAAGTACTTCGGCAGACTGGGTTGGTAATCTGCTTCCAAAAGGTCACAGCCTTGGAAACCCTTTAGAGCAGTTCTACTCTGCACACATCGGGTCGCCATTTGTCAGCTGACTCGATAGCAACTAATAATAATAAAAAGTTACCAGAAAGATGACCCTCTGAATAAATGTGCAATGTTAACAAATGGCAAAAAATGACACTACTCTAGTTTCTTTCTACATTGTACACCACCTGGAATGCGCATTCCAAAAGATTTAGAATATTACTGTCAGATCAATTATCTTATATAAATCTATGTTCTACAACAGAAACAGTCTGAATTTTTAATCATTTAAAAGATAAAATCAACGTATTTTGACATAAAAATAATCATTAACTTCCAGATTTCTGGTCTGCGTTTGAGCGCACTGCTTTGTCTGTTTTCTTACCTATGTAGTATTTCATTTCAGTGTCATGTTTGTTCATGAGCTCAAGAAGCCGCACTTCTATCTGGGCTTGATTCAGAAAAGCCTTCTTGTTCTTTATTATTTTAATGGCAACCCATTCTTGTTCCACGCGATCATATGCTTTTACAACCTAAAGAGGAAAAAAGGTGAAAAATCTCTTTTTATTTCATTAATGATAATTTTACAAGTTTACAATTCACTTTAGTTGTACATTTTTCTTATTTTCAACATTTTAATTTTTCTGACCTTCCTAATTAGAAGAGATCCTATCTGTTTCAATTCAGTGTAACATCCATTTACTTACACAGTAACTTTAAGTGAATTCTTTAAATTTTCTTTTGCATCCTTACAGTATTTCTAAACATCTACTGAACAGACAACTTTCTTATCAAGATTAGATGAACGGCTTTCCTCCAGAAACAAATTAAGAATCTTGACAAATGTTTTGGTTTTTCATTTTTCTTACTAAAAGACATTATAATTCATCCCATTGGCTATTCTTTTAATGAGAGATAAACCTGGTTTAAATTCCAAGTATATGTGTGTAATATTTAAAAGTTTCTAATTCATCTCAGAAATGCAGATAACTTTTCTAATTTTAAAATAAAATCTCAAAGACATTTAAGCATATAAGACAATCAGTTTACATTACATATATATGTAAGTTAAATGCCATAACAAGGGGATTTTGATGTTTTAAGATGAGATTACTAAGAAAAAAAGCAGAGTGTCCACGAGCAAATCAGCATACACACCTCTCATTTTAAATTGTACTCATTTAAAATAGGTTTTATAGTATTAACAAAGAAATCTACATAAAAATTAGAAATCAATAAATACATACATAAAAGAAAACTAGATCCCTATTAACCAGGGACAAGCACTATAACTGATTAAAAATAAGTTATATTATATGTAGTCTGACTAGGTAATAGTTTTAGATACATTTTCTAGCACATTTAAAGAGTCTGGGGTCAGATGAACTTCTGTTTTGGGGTTGGGGTAAAACTCCATGTGATTGCAACGTATAGGTTGAGAACGACTGGATTAGCAGAAGAGAATGGAATGCATGTTCCCAAATCTCCATCAGTCAAGGCTAAATACATTGTGAATAACAGATGATAAAATGGTTCAGCTGAAATGAAACTTCGAAAGAAAAACGCTATATCCCTCATTTCACTCAAATCTGAGAGATACTGTTATCTTTAAATCAGAGGCTATTACCAGGTAAAATTCAGGTGGTTTTGATATTCTTGTTTCACTGAATATGTTGACTGAACCGAGTTACAGGTCAATGCTCAGATTCCGATGGTCTCCAGGACAAAGGTCACTAACGGGCCCAACTATTTACTGATCTAGCAAATAGTTAACCAGTTACATGCTAAAGTAATGGTTTTCAACCATGAATTACACACTCAATGGGGAGTTTTTAAGACTACCAATGCCCAGAGTCCATCCACAGAAATTCTGATTTAACTGGTTTGGGGCCCAGGCACCAGTACTTTTGAGAGCTCCCTGGGAAATTTTAACGTGCAATCAGCATTGATAACCACTGGTTAATGTAATGGAGGAACTCCTTTGAAAAGGACTTAGCGCTGGATTTAGAGCAAGTCTGACCAACTTTCCACTACCAGGTCAATATGGGAGACATTATTCTGGTGAGAGACAGGCCCTGAACCTGAATGTGGACACTGCACAACACTTCAGCCTGGGAGGGGACTATCAGTTTGACCTGGTGAAAGGAATTTGATATCAAACAGGCCTCTATTTTTACAGGTTTACTATGCTCACCAGCTCTTAGGAATTAAAGTATGAGAAAATTAGGTGGAGGGGAGAAGGAAAACAGCTGCAAGTATAAAGACTGAGAATTTGGGGACAGCTAAGTTAAGCATCAAGTAGGCTGTATGGCCACAATTTCCATGGTGGATGTCACAAAAGTTAGAAAAATGTCTTATTGAGAGTAACTGCCTAAACGTTGCATAATTTTCCAAGGTAAAGACAGGCAATCCTTAAGTCTATGGTGTTTACCGCTTCGATTAAGAGCTAGGACTCAGAAAGCCTTCTCTTAAGAAGTTCAGATAGAGAAGCAGAAGTTACTTCTGACAAAATAGAATACCTTCATAGAGAGGGCTCCCAAACCACTGAGAAACTTCTGAGTCAGAAGAAAAACAGGTTATAAGTCAAGGCAAAGAAAAAAATGCCTCAGTGATGTACAAACTGTGGGAAATCAGGCACAGACACACTATGCAGGTGACAGCAGGGCCTGATAGAGCCACACTGGAGTTAGACAAGTCATCTAACACCCTGGTCCACGTTTCCTTACAGATTTAACAGCTTAGATTCTTCTGGGTTAAGTAGACCTGTGGCTGCTGATGATCCATAACATACACTTTGTCCAAAACATGATTACACTGACATGTAATTACTTTTTCCTCACAGCCTGGAAAGTGCTTGTTTTGCTTTCTCTTAGAGCAAAACCAGAAAAGAGCATGTAGGTTTCATGGTTTTAAAATAACAAAAACAAAAAAAAAATCCATCCAGGAAAAGTCATTTTGAGCCCCGTTTTATCCTCATGAACTGAAAGTCGAAAGTATTTGGATGGCAGGCTACACACTGCACAAGCACTGCAATACAAAGGAGACTGGGGTTAAGAGTAAAGCACGCCTCAAACAGAAGAGAGATCTGTGTTTCAATGAGACAGGTAAAATTTACCAAACGGGAACAGCTGGGGCACCCGCAGCCAGAGAAAAGGCTTTCTCAAAGTACAAGGAAGGACTGATAGCTCTGATAAACAAGGCACAACTGATGAACAGGCTAATATTTTGAGGGTTCTGTGCTTTGTGTTGGAGCCCTGGTGGCACTGTGGTTAAGAACTCAGCTGCTAACTAAAAGGTCGGCAGTTCGAATCCATCAGCCGCTCCTTGGAAACCTTACAGGGCAGTTCTACTCTGTCCTACAGGGTCACTATGAGTCAAAATCAACTCACTGGCAATGGGTAACAGTGCTTTGTGTTGGGGCTGCATGGGGGGTGAAGAGGGAGGGCTGCAGGTAGAGAGAAAAGAGAGAGAGGAGGAGGAAAAAAACAGATGTGCTGGAGACCCTTCCTCACCCTTCCTGGTAGAAGCTGCGTGGCTGATGCTTTCCATCAGAAAGACTCCACCTACAATAGCAGCAATGCTGGTACTGGTGAGGACAGCAAGAGGGAATCCCGAAGACTGTCTGCCCACCTGGAGGCCTGATACAGTTAGAAGATAGGGTGAGGGAAAAACCCAGGCTCTGGAGGCCTCCAAAAAAGTGGGAGGGTATCTGCTGTGCCAGCTGAAAAGGGTAATTCCTCTCACTTAGAAAAATGTGTATCAGACAGGAGGGTAAATATCTCTATATAGACAATGAAGGTGCAGCCATATAGATTTCATCATATAAAGTCCCTATGAAAGAAGTGATAGCCATAGAAAATGAGTCAAGAAGAAGTCTAACAGATTTTTTATAGCTGATGCGCAGTAGTTAAGAGATTGGCTGCTAACCAAAAGGTCGGCAGCTCCAATCCACCAGCTGCTCCGTGGAAACCCTACGGGGCAGCTCTACTCTGTCCTAGAGAGTCCCTATGAGTCGGAATCGACTCAACGGCAACGGGTTTGGGGTTTTTTTTTTTGGTGGCACTTTCACTATCTTTATAGAAGTGTGGTAATTCAAATATCTACACACCCATCGTGTGGATGTAAAAATATTCAAAGAAAGCGTACTGGTGATAATAGGGTATAACAACATGATTCACTAAGAAGTTCTAATTCATGAAATTCATCATTTTCCATTACCTGTCCAAAAGAACCTTTGCCTATCAAGGAGTCAATTTCGTAACGATCCATCCACTTTTCTCCGTTTTTCACAATATAATCATAGTTATCATCATCATAACCATCATTGTAAACCTTCCGCTCCTTCTTATGACTGGAATCGTCCCCCTGACCCTGTTGGTGTCTTCGCTTCTTTTTTGCATAGTAAACCTGAAATGAGAATACGTAGTTTTAACTGTATAATTTAAATCACTGGAGGAGGGGTATATATATCAAAAGTATGTACGAGCAAATCTTTTATCTGTAGTTAATTGATAAATTTTTATCCTTTGGTACTAAATAAAAAAAAACAAAAAACAAATTTTCTATGATCGATATTTGAATTATGAAAATAACATTGACATATCCAATGAAACAAACAATATCTACAGTGAAATTCACTTTATAGTGCTGAATGGTGACAAAAATATAATTCCTTGCAAATCTCTTTATTTTATAAATAGGGAAACCGGACCAGAGACTTATAGAACAGACTTACAAAAAAGTTTCTAAGACTAGTAAAAAATAAAAGGTAAACTAGTCAGCAGTCCCAAGTAACTTGTAACTAACTTTGAGAAAATTATAAATTACACCACATAGAATACTATCAGAAAAATTCTAGTTTATAAGACAGCAACACATTTTTTAAAACTAGCTGCAACAAAGCTACTTTTGACAATTTATCTGGTATTTTCAGATTATTAAAAGCTATTCTGGTAAATCTTTCATAACATATTAATGTGTACAAAACCCAACTCAGAAATGTTTAGTTTATTCTAATTTTGTCTGGCCACATCCACAGTAATACAGTAATATCAGCATTCAATAGCATCAAACTGCTATAAACTGGTATACATATAACATCTTTTTAGTTTAAACGGCTCTAAAACTGGTAGAGAGTAAGCTTTTATGGCAGAAGGCTCAGGGCTCCCACTGGAAGAGGAAAAAAAGCTGGAGCACTTCCACTTTTCTCCGGAAAGGGGTCACTTAATACAGTAAAACCTGAGAAAGCTTGAACCTGCATAAGGTGGAAACCTGTCAGAGAAGGAAAATGCAAATATCTTCCACTAATAGAGAGCAACAGGAAAGTGGTAAGACTGCACTCTGACAAAGGTGGAAAACTTGCGAGACCCAGAAAAACAAGGCAGTCTCGTCAAGCTCCAGCTCTCACAGGTTCCACTGTAATTAATTACTGAGCTACAGCTGAGGAGAGAAGCAAGTGGCAATCAAGCCAAAGGCCCAAGACACCAGAAAAGTCTTTTTTGCTGGCAAAGGGCCAAGTTACGACACAAGTAATTCAAAGTGCCATCTATGGTTTTTATCCTACTCACCACCACCAAAAAGGCTTTCAGACATCTTACAGTGAAAGAAGTAAAAAAGCACACAAAGTTTTAAAAGACAATTTAAAACCACAGAAACACAGAGATCAAATAAACTAGGCCAAATGACTGTAACTGAGTATTAAATATATCTCAGAGCTTCCTGACATCCATGGCAAAAGTAGAAATAGATATGTAAAAATTTAAGCAAAATTCTAACATAAGCATATACTTTTATAGTCTCATTATTTCCCTCTTTCTTTTGGGGGGAAGAGTTATGACAAAAATGATAACTCAGCATATTCTGGGGGAAAAGGAAGTTATCCACAATTATCTCCCCCCACACCATCCTTATTAATATAGCTTTCTTTACATGGCTGTAATTATGTTATCTGTGAATCAATAACTTACCAGTCTTCATAGTAATTTTAATGACAATCATTAGGAATAAAAAAAAGTTTAGAATGTTTAAGTAGGTCATGAAGTAACTTTCTTCCCTGATCTATTACTAGATGCTGCTATAACAAATCAACAGTCTTACCTCATTAATATGCTTGTATGTTTTGATCAAGTCAACAGAAAGTTTTCTCAGGGGAGCGGTTGCTGGGTCACGGAAGGTTTGGGGCATCCGCCTCTGTAACATGACAATATCAGGCATCACCTTAAATAGACAGAGAAGACTAGCACTTTAACTATATAAAATGGTATAAATTCCCTCTTCTGTGACCTGTTTATTATCTATTTAAAAAAAGACATCTACATTAAAAGATGACATATGCTCTCTCAAAGTTATCTCTTTCATCTGAATTCCAATGAAGACAACCACTGAAACAAACTAGAAGATAATGTGCCCAGTTGCTCAAGGCTTCAACCCTGTTCCCCAAATTAAACAGTGGGATTACAGACACACCTCTGGTCTGGGAGACAAACATGATACTCCCCAAGGAGGCTCCCTCACCATCCAGTCAGCCCAAGGAAAATTTCTTCTGAATATATTCCTAAAATCTGCTCCGGTTCACAACAGGCAGGCAAAGCCAAACTCAACCATCGGAGGCAACTTTCAGCTTCAAGAACCAGATGGAAGCTGAGTCTGCCTAGGTACAACCAAACACCTCATGGGATTTGGTTCCTTGGTTTGGAGGTTTAGGTCATGGTTTCATGGGACACCCCAGTTAACAAGCCTAATAATGTGTTTAGTGCTTCTGTTCTACCTCCTTGTTCATTGCATAGTGCCTAGGGTTCTTAAAGCTTGCAGGCGGCCATCCGAGGCACAACAATTGGTCTCTATTCACCTGAAGCAACAGAGTAAGGAGAGTCAGGAATAGGACGAGGATATGGAGTGTGTGGCTAACTGCCTCCATGAACAACTGCTTCCTCTGTCATGTGACCAGAAAAACTGGATGGTGCCCAGCTACCAGTACTGAACATTTTGATCAAAGATTCCACAGAAGAATCCTGATCAAAAGGGGGCAAATGCAAAACAGAATCTGAAATTCTCATGGACTCTAGACTTCCTGGAGCCATGGAGTGTGGATGAACCAACCCCTGAAACTATTGCCCTGAGATAATCTTAAACCTTAAACCAAAAATATTCCCTGAAGTCATCTTAAAATCGAACAATAGTTTAGCTTAACTAGTAAAAAAGGCCTATTTTGAGCATTATGCTCTTTTAAGAACTATCTGTACGAGATCAAATTGACAATGGAAACCTGAAAGATTAGACATGAACCTTACGGGCCTGTGAGATTGTGTTAATGAGGGAGGAACAACTCAGAAGAAGAGGGCGAGCATGGTTGCACAACTCTAAGAATGTAATCAATGTTCACTGAATTGTACATGTAGAAACTGTTGACTTGGTGTATGTTTTGCTATGTATATTCTCAACAACAGCAAAATAAATAAAATTCAGGGGGGAAAAAGGACAGCTGGCACTAAAACACAGGTTGGCAGCATAGCTCCATACCCTCGAACAGCCTGATGCTGAAGAAATTCAGCTACCCACAACATACCCTGTCCTCCTACGAGTCATCTGCCCCTTAAGAAGCAAGGCTGAAATCTGTACTCATTTCACACAGTTAAGTAAAACATGTCATCCATGGTAACGCTTCCAACATATCCCCTATTATTCCTTTCCCCCTTTCTCTGCTTTATTATTCTCCAGAGCACTTACCACTACCTGACATACTATATATTTATTCATTTCATTGTTTTATTTTTTATCCCCCATCTTCCACTCCAATGAAAACTCAACAAGGGCAGGAACTCTTTTGTTCACTAGTGTATTATCTTTGCCTAAAACAATGACTGGCACATAGTAGGTGTTCAAAAAATATCTGTTGAATAAACAAATGAACTCATAGTACCAATATCCCTTCTCATGGTAATACTAGAAACTGACCACAAATAAGTTTCAGGGGCTGTAATAAATCTAACGACATTTTCTTTTAAACTTCATTTCAATCATACTCCACAAACCTTCACGCCTGAGTCCTAAACCACGTCTCCATCATCCAACAGACAGTGGGAGGTTCAAACGCGAGCTTCCTGCCAGACCGTTTCCACTGCAGATGGAGCAAGAGCACAAGCGGCCTCTATACACATTCCCACACGTTCTGCAACTAACATGCCAATGATTCCCGACTGACACTGGAGCCCCACTCTTCCCCCAAGTGTCTGCCTCATTAAAGGGGTTCCCAACAGGGCTTTGTGCAACCAACAGATCCTCAACCCATTCATTACATCAAGGTACCCGCAGTCATTATCACTATTCCATCCTTGTGTTCCTGCCTAGCCCTGAGACTTTTAAGCCAGTGAAATCTATTGAGCCAGAAGTCCCCAACACAGCCCACTCCCAAAGGACACTGAGATCAATTGGAGGGGACAGAGAGTTGAGAAATATATTATACTAAGGCCTCACAGGAATGTTTCGAGTCTTGGGATAATTGCTAACTTAAGCCACACTAACAAATAAGAATGGAGGAGGGCTGTAAGGTGAGAGTGGACAGACAGGAAATAATTATTATCTACATGGTCTGAAAGATGGAATGATTACAGGACTTACCTAAGTGCATTTTCTCTTAAACTAACAAAAATTATTTTTCACTGCACAAATAAACAGTAAAAACTTACTATCCAGGTAGTAAATTCACTGACTGAATCACTGTATTAAGCTAATATCATCTTTTCTCATGTTGTTTTAAAGTCATAAATATAATTTTAGGAGAAAGGAAAAACCCAGTGATTCTAACTATTTGTTTGAAAAGATAGTTGGAGTAAAAAAATCTGCATTACTTATTTTTTCAAATATATATACTTTTATTTTTCTAAATATAAACAATAGATAGAGCTAAGTTCATAGAATGTTTCATTCTTATACTATTTATTGGAGACTTAATGAATAGACAAATCAGTACTAAACATGTCAATTCTTTTTATGAGAATGGCTGCTATAAGCATTTAAGGTAATGGAAGAGGCTTTCCTTAGCATGTTTTGTTTTGTTTTTCTTTAAAGTCTCATGCAAGTAACGTACTCAGTAAGCCCCTTCTTGGACTAGTGATGCACAGCCTCGATGTGAAGTTTCACAAAATCTGAATCAGTGAAAAGTTTCATTACCACTGTAAGACAAGTTGATAGAAAGTATAACTATTGGTAGAACCAACTGAATAACAACAAAGTAATAAAATAATAATGGCAGCAAGTATTTACTGGACACTACATTTTTAGCATGTATGTTTTTACATGTTTGTCACGTAATACTCTCAAAAAACTCGTACTATTCTTGTCACCATTTTACAAATGAGGAACTTAAGACTCTTGACCAAGGTCTTAGAGACTGGAAAGAACACAGCTAAAATGAGAACGAGGTAGTCTCGCACCAAACCCACAGCATTATACCAAGAGCTTCCTGTCAACTTGAGGCCTCTATTCTACCCTTGCGGATGAGTCACTTTTAGGCTATTTATTGGGCAAAAGAATTGAAGTATGCATAATAAATACCAATAAAATAAGCACATGCATTTATTAAAATTAGTTACACACAAAACTGTGAATGTGTTTAAGTTTTAATTTGCCTATTTACAATGCCACTGTCAAACATCTGGAAGAAGAATCAATGACTACATTTTTCCAGGAGTAATTATATTCACTCAAAACACCAAAATCACACAGTCAAGAAAACCATTTTAAATGTGTAATACATACAAGAAATTGGATATGAATGTGAGTTTCAGAAATATGATCAAGTTTCTGCGAGTCAGTATGAGTGTGTGCTATGTGCTCGGCACATCACAAAATATCATTAAGCTTTTCCACACTAGTTGAACTCTGCCTACAAAGGCCAATCAATTAGCTAATTAATTCTCAGTACCTTACTTTTCCTATATACTTCTGGCAACAGAAGTTACTATTTCAGGTGGCACCCTGATTTATAAAACAGATGCATTCTGCCCCCCCAAAATTGGCCTTTAACATGTATTTTAGGGCTTCGAATAACACTCAGAACATGGTAAATGCTCAAAATATATGGAAAGAACAAAGTAATTTCTACAAAGCGAGTAACACTCCTTTTGCTGACATCCACTGTGATTTCATGCTAGTTAACCAAATTTTCTGTTTACAATATTATGCTGCCATAAGCACAAATCCAGAATTAGAATATAACGTTTCCAAATACGCAATTACAAATTTATACTAAGACTCAAGGCCAGCCCTAAGCATCTGATGCTTTCTCTAGTTCCTGCCTCTCTCAGAGTCAGGAGAATGTACAGTAATGTAGCAAACTCCTTCCCTTCTAGCACTGACAGCAAGCCCATGGTGTTCACAGAGCCCTGGAGCTCACCAAGCTGCAGGTGGCTAGCGTCCCCCCACACCTCCCCGCCATGCACACGCACACAGGGTTCTCACTGCAAAAAGGAAAAAGCTGATGAGATGGCATCCTGCTGCCTCAGCTATCTGACTCTGAGAGCTGGAAAAAGCCACGATCCTAAAGCTCACACTCTTACCCTTTCTCTTCACACAGATTACAGAGCAAAAGAAGAGCAAAAGTAGTCTGCACCTCCTGTTTAGATCAGTTACAAGAATTAAAACAACCATTAATTTTTTTTTTCCCTGAAAAGATTCCACAGCATAAGCTCCAGGACTTTATTTAAAAATTATTCTAATTTAATAGTACCTATTGCATTCATTTTATTTATGCTTACCCCATATTTTCATATATAATGAAAAATCAGAAATACTATATTCTGCCTTTCTTGCTTATTTTGGCAGATACTAATGAAGTTGATAGCATACAGAACACACATCCAAAGTACTGGTATAAGTTCAAGAATTATGAAAGGTACTGTGAAAACTATAAAAGCCCAAAGAGACTCAGCATTCCAAGTATCAGTCATATTTTTTCCACACTTACTTCTACATTTCTCTCATTTTCTAAATTTATGTTTTTGACTAAGATTGTTTTTAAACTTCTATCAAGCCAAATACCTATATAAGAAAGATTTAACTACCAGAAATAAAATGTTAAAGTTATCTTATTTGAATTGACTTGTACCATATATCTTATTTTAAAAGCACTGATATGAAGATTAACAAGAAACAATGAAAATTAAACAACAGAAGCTTAGAGCTAGAAGGTACTTCAGGGAATCTGGTTCTCAGGTCCTCATTTTACATGCAAAGAACAAATATGAAGGCTCCGTGTGACCTGACTCAACATACAATCAGATCTTGAGCCTAGACCTTGAGTTCATGCCTGATGACTTGTAGACCATTCCACATCAGCACACAGCTTTCATGGTTTACACTTCGGTTATAAGACAGATACATCTTCTAACATGACTGCCTTATTCGGTTCAGAAATTTCTGGGTTTGGGCAGAAATATGTGCCTGGATATTGTTACTTAAAAGACGGTCTTTTTACATTGTAGGAATCTTTTAAAATATTTTACAGTTTAAAATGGAAATACTAAGTAAAATATCTCTTATTGTAAAATACATGTTCACTGTATCTAAAAATAGGTACTTTGCTAACTAAATTACCTATTAAAATTATATAACTATAAAGATATCTTTAAAGAATTGGATTTTTTTTTTCCTAGCCCTTTGCAGATGTCAGGCATCAGAACCAAAGGAGCACCGCATCGATAAGAGAGAAGCCTATGCTGGAACCCAGAGCCTACTGCTTCCACCCTTGGAGAAGTCACAAGCGGAGTTCGGTCCCTTCAGCTGTAAAGTACAGATAAAAATAGCACCCTGCCTGATAGGCTGCTTTTGAAAAAGTGGGAAAATGAATCTGAACACACTGTTTCTTAAAAGCACAATGTACATGTATCATTGTGCTGTTATTATTTCCTGGATGACCAAAGGATGTTCTCTGGTATACACTTTCCAAACTTAGTGAACATTCTGACCAACTATTCCAATTCTCAAACACAGAACTACACTCCTCTATCAATTCACTGCGTGAAACAAATTATAAGACTCCTGAGTCCTGCCATAATTTACCCTAGTAACTACTTAACTGTGAAGCATTTTATAAATGCAATGCCAGCTCACATATTGGTAAAATCTTATCACAACACACACAAGGGCACCCCCTAAGAAAGGTATTACTTCACTGTAGCCAATTGCTCATTAAAACCATATATTGCCAAATTCAGGAGAACACAATATTCTCATACAAATAATCCAGTATTAAAACTGTTTTTCAATTTCCAAAATTTTTGACCATTATTTAATATATTAAGAGACCTAAACAAAACAGTGACAATTCAAATTCCTAAGTAGCTATTTTTATGCTCATCATATGCCCAATTACCAGTGGTGAAAGAAACCTTACAACTATAGCTAATAAGAAAATTTTCCCCAAATCAAAAATCACTGAAGCAAGTACAGTTAATTCAGGAAGATATTAAACACATACACATGTATACACATGTACCCCAAACGTGTGTGTGTGTGTGTGCGCACGCGCATGCATAATGAAGAAAATATTTCAGCATTCGTTGTAATTGCTGAATCTCTGGTCTGAATATTAGCATGAACAGCATGGTTAATTTGCAGGCATTTTTCTTTGAAATTTTAAGGAGTTATGTATTTATTTTCAGCAATGTGTAGTAAAATAGTTTATAACAGCATAAAATCAGCTCTGTAAGTCTGTTGCAATGGAATCTGACTTGTTTTCCTATACTTGTATTTTTCTACTTAACCATCTTTCCATGAAACTAAGCTTTTTATTTAACTTCCTTTATTTTAACCAATATTCTCTAGAAATGACTTTCTCCCTCTCTACTCCAGAATGAGAGAATGTGGTTATGTTTATGACTTTTTTTTTTAATTATGTGAAACAGAATGTAAAAAAACAACAACAAACTTTTTAATGCAAACTTCTTAACATCATGTTTTACCAATCTGGAATTCTATGTATCATATAAAGCTAAATGCCATTAAAGAATTTTGCCTATTTGATATTCCAGAGTTTTAATGAATAAATTACTGTTCGCACAATCGTTTCTGATACATCATGAACTTACCTGGTTAGTTAGAGGTTGCTGAATCTGGTCAGAATAAGATAAGGCAGAAACCTGTTGGTCACTTATGTTTGGCTGGCGACGGTCACTGTACTGATGTGAATGGGGCATCTGTCCAGCCATCTGAAGGCCAGCAGCATGGAATGAAAATGACGGTGCAAGCCGAACAGATGAAGGTTTGCATGCTGAAGTCTCTCCTCCTACGAGAAGATAACAAGTGACTTTTAAGGAAGTATTCACACCCTAACATTTGTATCATCTGACAAATCTAATAGTTCTTTAAGTAGGTACTTCAGAATGTTCAGTAGTATTAAAAAAAAAAAAAAACCTTCAGAAATACAAACAGGTATATGCCACTCAGCACAACTGTATGTTAAACAGTATAAAATATATAAATTGATTAAAATAAGTATGGATAAATCTGTATTAACAGAAAATTTAAGTAAATCTTTTTGTTCAGTAACAGAACTAACTTTTAATACTTATTATCACATACGAGATTTTCGTCAATTGAGAACCATAATATGTTATATAAATAATCTTTGGATTCTTGAGAACGGCCTCTCTTGGGTCAGCTCCTCACAAACCAACTAAAAAAGGGTACTACTGAGATGCTGCTTCATGCCGGCCAGTTATATGACAACCAATTCCCCCAGCATTCCCCGTATCAGGCGAATGATTTCTCCTAATGGTGCTGTCCACCGACACAGACTGAGCACACAACACACAAAAACAAATGCACAGGCTGTTGGAATCCTCTGGACCCTTCTAGCATAGTCAATATGTCTCCTAAAGAGAACCCTCTCTATATACAGCCAAACTTAGCATCACAGACTAAAGCCAAAAGGCAAAGCTTAAACCCTGGTCTACAAACTCCAGATTCAGAACACTTATGGTTGTCCCCTGAAGGTACCAACTAACTATTGCCATCCAACAGGCCATTCTATTGAGCACCAGGATACTTTTGTCTAAAGTCTACTATTTCGGAGACAAGAGTGGGCCCAACAGTGAAGAGTGTGGATGCAGCAGCCAGGCTGCAGGGTTGTAAATCCCAGTTCCACCACGTACCAGCTGTGTGGACTTGCACACCTAGTTTCCTCATTCGTAAAAACTGGCTGATAATATCTACACCGCAAAAGGCTGTTGGGAAGGTTAAGTGCTTTAATATATGTAAAGTACTTAGAACAACAGCTCTGGCATTAATAATAATTGGCTCAACGTTAGCAGCAATGACTTACAGTAAATGTACTGTAATGTAAAGGGTGACGGTGTTAGTACCTGTTCTTGTGGCACATACACTCTCTATTTGGATGTTGTGAAGAGTTCTCAAACTGAAGAGAACAAAGCTCAATGCCCCCAAAACATAACATTCCGCTTCTATTTTCTACCACAGTGAATGACACCATTTTCTACACAGTCACCTGAGTCAAAAATCTGAGTCATGATGGAGTTCTTTTTCTCCATAGCCCACCCAATCTTGCCGATTCCACCTCCTATAAAAAAAAAGAAAACCCGTTGCCATCGAGTCGATTCCAACTCATAGTGACCCTATAGAAAACTGAAATACAACCTCTTCATCTCCACTGTAGCATTTTTCACTTGGATTACTAAAACAAATTCCTAATAGGTCTTTCTGTCTTTACCCAATTAAAACTTCCTATTTCTTTTAAAAGATAGTTAGAGTGACCTTTCTAAAATGCAAATCTCAAGTGTCCCATCTCTAAAACTTAAGTATCACCTGCCCTTAGCATTGCTTTCAGACCTTAGCTTCTGTGTCTCCTTCCATTACAGCATGAGGTCCTCAACTGACCCATAAACCAAAAAAACAAACTCGTTGTCGTCAAGTCGATTCCGACTCATAGCGACCCATAGTACATCATTAATAAATAGTTGCTGAATAAATAAAAGGATAGAGTACCTAAGATGATAGATGGGGATAACTTTTTAAAAATATTCAACTACTCATACTGAAAAATAAGTTCAGTCAATTCAATTACATGGAGCAATTTTGTTCAGTTAAGAAAAAAACAACTAGGAATTTATCCTATGGAAATAATGTGCACAAAGGTGGTTATTATTGTTCATAATAGCAAGAAATTGAAAACCTAAATGCCAAACAATGGAGAAAGGAGAGGGGCCGAGTTTAAATCTGTACGTCAAAAAAAAACTGGGAAGGAATATAAATGTGGATGAAAAGAACTGAGGTCCTTAATATACAAAGAGTTCTTATAAACAAACAGTAAAAAGACCAAGGCCTTGAACAGCAAATTACTTAACCACTCCGAGCCTTAGTTTCCCTAGCTACGAAGCAAAAATAATATCATACTAACCCCGTCCCCCCAGGTTTAAATGAGATATCACAAGCAGACAATCAGAATGAAACCTGGCACGCAACAAGCACTTTTTAAATGTTAGCTTCTATTTTTACTATTAATGTAATCATCCTATACTATGTTTAAACTTATTTACTGTAATATAAACAAAAAAAGTGTAAAAGCCATAAGTATAAAGCTCAAATTATCATAAAGTGAACAACCTGCATAGCAAAAAAAAAATCATAACCAGCATCCCAGAAACCCCTATACCCTGACCCCAGTCGATACCTGCTTCCTCTTCCCCTGAAAGTTAGCACTATCATGACTTCTAAAACCAGATTAGTATTAGCTTTATATAAATGGCTTTGTTTGCATAATGTTACACCTATAGGCTGTAGTCTGTTCACTATCATTGTTTAATAGTATTCCACTCTATGAACATATGATGATTTATTTATCCATTTTATTTCTGATTGACATGTGGACTAGAACTGATTTTTAAATTTTAATTTTAATTAATTTCGATTTTTAATAGCTACACATGGCTACTAGCTACCATTTTAGACAGCACAGCTATCGAGTAATTTGGGGGAAACTGAAATCTTCATAATACTGAGTCTTCCAACGCACAAACATTGTACAGTCCTCCGGTTATCTGCTGCTGTTGTTAACTGACACTGAGTCAGCCCGACTCACGGCGACCCCACACACAATGGAATGAAACACTGCTTCCACCTGCACCACCACCATGATGGGTTGAAGACTGGAACACTGTGATCCATAGGGTTTTCATTTAGTGATTTTTGGAGGTAGATTGCCAGGCCTTTCTTCCTAGTCTATCTTATTCTTGAAGCTCCACTGAAACCTGTCCACCATGGGTGACCCTGCTGATATTTGAAATACTGGTGGCATAGCTTCCAGTACCATAGCAACGTGCAATCCACAACACAACAAACTGACAGGTGGTAGAATAGTATGTTTGCTTCATCTAAATTTCTAATGCATTGGCATCAAGTACTTCATAATACCCTCACACTTGTGAGTTTTTCGGTGTCGGGAGAATTGTAATGATACGCTGTTCACTCAAGATTGGTTACTAAGGCCTTCCCCTTCTTCTTTGCAGTCTCATCAAAAGTTTATCAATTTTATTAATTCTATTCAAAGAACCAACTGCAGCTTTGTTGATCCTCTCTTAAGTGTTTCTACTTCTGCTCTCATCTTGTTCTATCAATTACCCACAGAGGTGCATTAACATGTCCCACTATAATTGTGCATTCACTATTTCTCCTTTTTGTTATTGGATTATACAAATTTTAGAGTTGCTACATTTTCTTGATAAATAAAATCATTTTTAATTATGAATTTACCCTCTTTTTAACCTTAAAATATAAGTTGTCTGATATTAATACGACTACACCAGGCTTTTGCTTAATCAATCTTTGAGACATATCTTTTGTCCATTCTTTAACTTGCACCCTCTCTGTATCCTAAACAGTATGCAGTAGGGTTTTATTTATGTATAAAGACTAACAAACAACCCTTCTACTTGTTCCAACCATTTTATGTTCCTTTGCTGAGCTGATTTTTTAACACCCTTGACACATGTAACATTATTTTAGTATTCTCTTAGTTATCTTATAGAGTATAATAAAGATTACATATCCTTGATGCATCCAAATATAATAAAATTAGCACCCCTCCCTTAATTTCTATACAATTGTTAGGCTCATATTTTAATTCTGTCTCTCTTTACATATAAATCCACAACACTTATTACTGTTGTTTTATACTGCTATTATTCATTCATGTTTACCCTTTTATAGTTGTTCTACATTCCTCCCTGTATCTCCAGGCTTTCATCTGGGATCATTTTCCTTCTTCCTAAAGAAATGTTCTTCAGTACTTCCTTTAAGTTCAAGTCTGCCAGTAACAAATTCCCTCAGTTTTTATCTAAAAATGTCTTTATTTCTCCTTCAGTACTGAAGCACATTTTTGCTAGGTATAAAATTCTAGATTTATAGTCAAGTTCTTTTAGCATTCTGAAGTTATCATTTCATTATCTTCTGGCTTCCACTGTTTTTGTCAAGCTATTCATCTCATTTTTTTTTCTTGAAACGTTCTCTTTTTCTCTGGCAGTAGATTAAAGCCATCCATTGGGTTCGTAACTTTAGTTTTTGTATTTTCTGTTCTAGAAGACCCCCAGCTCTCTGCCAAAATTCTCAATCTGGTCTTTTATTTCCAGAACATATTAAACAAAGTTATTTTTAAGTCTCTGATGATTCCATTATTTGGTTCTTTCACAGATTTTTTCTTATCACTTTTCTTCTTTTTTTAAATTAAGGATAAAGATGATCTAAGAAAAATCCATAAAGATGATATTATCTTTATCCAAAATGGGTTTGTGTTTTTTATAGCTGGTAGCCTGGGATCCCAGCAATCAGGGATTAAAATGATTCAAAAGAGGGCTATAGTCCCTGTGAGGCAGATCTGTTTGCAGCTAACCCTTATTCTTATGCCCTTATGGGTCCCAACACAAACACTAGGGGGTGTCACAAGGCTGCCTTTATTTGGCAGGCCCTGTCATACAATTTTTATATCCGCAGTCTCATGAACTGCAAGGCTATGCCCCACTTCTTAGCCTTTCAGGTGCTTCTTCCAGAATTACCAGGCACTCCTGAGAGGAAGAGTGGCCCAAAATGCCAGGCTCACCTCTCTGAGTTTCTTTCTCCAGCATCCTGACCCCGTAATTCTTCACTGCCTTGTCAGCTCCCTCATGCCTTCAAACATTTTGTTTTTCAGATTTTCTTGTTGATCTCAGAGATAGGATTGGTACGAATTACACAGTCCATCATTACTGGAAGCACTACTCCTTTATACCTTTTTTTAAGAAAAAATATATATGTATATTTAAGTAGAAAACACAGAAAAATATTAACAATGGTTATCTTTGGATGGTGAAATAAAAAATGGAGATATTTTTTCTCTTTTGTGATTTTTTAAATTGTTACCTATGTTTTCTACTTGAAGAATTTTTGGTTTTGAAAATAAATGGTTTTTTAAAATCCTATCTATAGGACCTACCTTACTGGCACCCATCCCATGATGTGTTCCCAATCACAAAGGATTTCTCCTTTCCTGTGCTATAAACTCTTACTGCATTCAATTTTTATCATTCATAAGACGTATATTACAAACCATATTATTACAGTTATGGGAAGACTGTCCCATCTTCATCACAAGAGAGGAAGCTTCTTGAGAGCAATGTGTTTTTCTTCCATCAAACACACCCTAAGCAATCCCTGGCACGTGACAGGAGCCTGAGAACACAAATTAATGAAAGCAGGTATAAGGCAAACTAAACTGCCATGGTTCTACCTGTGCTGCCATTCACAGGACTCTTTTTTAGAGATTTCTTTTCACGTCAGATTAATAATGTGTTTCTCTTGTGCCCATGCCCTGTTCATGGTCTCAGTTATTTTCACTTCAGAAATATTCATAAGAAATTTTACAGTGAAGAGATCTTAGAAAAGCTTAACACATGCATCTCTTCAAAGGCTGGTTTGGTGGTCATGGCAAATGGAAGCCATATACCATTTGTTAAAGTGTGTAACTATTGAGATACTTATGGCTTATCTTTAATATCAGCTTTCTAATTCAGAAAATCAGATTTATCATTGGAAACAATTCTCATTTGGCAGAGTTTGAGCCTAGGAGAAAGAAGGCAATGACTTAAAAATACTTATTAATAATGTATTTAATCACTGAGAAAAGGGCAATCCATTAAACTACCAAATTCCCTTAATCCATTTAAAAGTCTTATGGGTTTTCCCTTAGCAAAAATTTCCAGATACCTACCCCCCCTACCTTGTTTTTCCTCTCTGACACTATCCAGTCTGCATCAAGGTCATTATCATCCTCTGCCAACATTACTAAAAAGCCCCTCTAGCTAATTTCATTCACTCGGCCCCACAGCCACTATTCATCTCCACCAGCCTAATCGTACACAAACACTTCTTTACACCGTATCTTCTCCCGATGCAAGATCCCAAAATGAATACTTCAGTCTTCATCTTATTTGACCATTTCTCCATTGTATACCAAAGTTAACTATTTCTTTCCAGAAACTTTGTCAACTACATCTTTCATATGCTAGAATCTCCTCGGTTACCGTGTATCTCTCTAGCCTCTATTTCTTAGTCTAATCCAGGGTCTTTCCCTAACTACCACCCTCAGCCCCCATGAACAATTTCATGCATTCTCATGGTTTTAATAACCAACCCTACACTGATAGCTCTTAAATGCTGTCATTTGCAGTGAACATATACTGAGTGCTTACTATGCACCAGGCACAATATAAGGGCTTTGCATTAATTATTTTATTTAATCCTCAATAAACTCATGAGATAGACACTATTATAATCACCATTTTACAGAAAATTAAAGTTTGGAGAGATTAAGCAATTTGCCCAAGATCACAGAGCTAGTAAGTGGTAGAGTCACGATTCCAGAGCCCGTATACCTTAATACATTCTGCCTTCAAGATACAATGCCCCTTGGGAACCTCATACTCCACAGGGCTGAACCTGAAATCACTCTCTTCCTCAAACTGTGGCCCATCCCCCCTGCCCACCGAAGAAAAAACCTCCCACATGTATTCTCTACCCCAGTTACTGGCAACACCAAAGCAGCCCATCTTCTCTGATTCCTAGAGTTTCTGAAACTGCCCCACCCAACTGATCACTCAGAGTAGAATCTGCCTCAAGGATGCATTTGCATGGATGGATGGATGGATGGATGGATGGATGGATGGATGGATGGATGAATTCTGTGATATCCAGATAGCTACAAAAGAATTACAAAGAAACAGATAGCTGCTTCATTATTATAGTAACTATCCTCCTAAAATAGATTCATAATTTTTATCTTCAGAAGTCCCCTACATATATTCTCTTACCCTATCCTCACAACTCTGTGAACAAGAGGGGGAGGCATCTTTATTCTAGTTTCACAAGTGATAAATGTATGATATATATGATTAACACACATCCCCATGCCTAGCAGTATACTAGGTTACAAAGAAATCTCACATTCTTTTGTAATTTGCTGTGGGTGATCTGCATGTAGATTATATTTTCTCACTGGTGGGACTTTTTCCGCTATTTACTACACCATCTATCATAATTAATTAGTAACATTACCAGTTATCTGAAAAAATGAAAGGAAGATTAAGCCTCATGCACCGGGGCCTGGTAACTATAGTCTGCATATAGGTGTGTTTGTCACACGCTCATTATCTCTTTCCTTAGGTCAACTGCTGTGATAATTTATACGCAATCCAGAAGATAACTGAAGTTTCATGTCCTCCCACAATGCCAAAAAGAAAAAAGTATTTAAGTTACCTGCTCATTCATTCCTCTCCTATGACAGGATCCTAAGGGGTCAAACTAATATTTCTAGTCAACCAGGTCTTAGACTTAAGCAAATCACTGTTTTTTCCTATAATAATGAACTATTAGGATGAATCATATGAAACTGCTGACACATGACCATCTTTGGCCTACAAAACAGCAAATTTCATATGGTTCAACCTAATATCTACTATATTATATATAATCTTTATTCAACTAAGTTACAAGTTACTTATAATAATCTTTAACTCAAGAATGTATCAAAATATACTCTGCAGCATCAGATAAAGCTATAGTTTAATGATGAACTTGTATTAATTCAAAACTATCTTCAAATCATTATTTGGAGTTTAATTCCGAAATGATCTTTAAAAATTGCTGTCAAATAGGGTAAAAAGCAAGATGGAGAAAAGTATGAGCGTGGGATCCTATCTGCAGTTTTATATTCTTCTGAATTGTATGGATCACTAGATAAGGGACCATCCTTCTAACAGTATTAATCCACATTAGATTTTAAAGAGAAAGAGTTAAACAAAACAACAATATTAAAGAACAACAACAAAAAAAAAAATTGAAAATAACTCATTAATTAAAACTACAGCATCCAAAACTCTTGAGGCTGAGGTTCTAAGACAGTCTCCTAAGAAACAAAGGGAGTAATCAAGCAGAAACGGGAAGAAACCTCCAAGGTCTCTAGTAACAAGACACACCCAAAACAAAGGAGAAGACAAACTGCTGAAAGAATAGCCAATTGCAATTTTTATAACGGTTGGAAATAAAGGCATTTATTATGACTGAATGTAAGTTCAAGAGAAGTTTTGTTTACCGCTTTATCACTAACACTGAGAACAGTACTGGCACATGGCCTGCATTCAATAAATATTTGTTCAATGAAGAATGAATTGAATCCATGAGGAATATTTAAACACTGGGAAAAAATGGTTGCGGGTAGGAGGGAGTTGACAGGGATAAGGAGGAAAGAAATATCTCAAAATGAGTTGATTCATGAGTCTAAAGTAAGGCACAGAATTGTAACACAGGCTGGAGCTACTGCTTCACAGTCTCTTATTTTTCTATCCCGAGGACGTATCACAGTGCTTAGCTACACAGTAGGTATTAAATAAATACCGTATTTTACACAAGTAACGCACGTCTTCTACATTTGTTTGCCAACTGCGTCCTCCTCCCGCAAGGTAGTTTCACAAGTGCACTATGCTAATTTTTTTACAGCAACATATAAAAAATGGTTAGCAAACAGAACATAGAAAGTGCACGTTATTTGTGTAAAAATACAGTATATATTAAAGTGAAGCTATGCAATGACTATGACTATACAAATTATCTAATGATAAGGACAAATGAAATGATTTATTACCCTCTAGCGGTCAACAGGTGTCACTATAGCATGCATACATACATGTGAGCTCATGCATAGAAACACACACACACACACACAAACCCTACCTTAAGGGTTAACCTACTAGCCAAAATAGCATACTTAATTGCCTACAAACACAATGAAACTGTTCACAAAGGTCTAAATAAAAACTTAAAATTTTTCAGTCTGTAATATTAAGTCAGTATATTAAATTATTAATAACAATGGAATAAAAATATATATCTTTAAAAGTCTGTAATATTAGACTTCCACCTCTGATCATTTTGGAGTACCTGGTATCGGACTAGCTTATCCACCATAAACTATAAAACTGGTCAAAATATATGAAATAACTATTTTCAGACACTGGACAATAGGCAGTACAGAACTGTGATCACTGAGAGAAAGGAAAGAAGCTAGGTAAGCCCCACAATCACCTTGGTTTTCCATATGGAGACAATTTTCAGAGTATCGGGTAGGAAGGGAGAGCCCAAAAAGAACACAGCGGTCTTGCTGAGCTGAGGAGACAAGAGATTCAAGGTAACTGACTTGGATGGCATTTGTGAGGCAGGTAGCAGAAAGAGAGCTATGCAAAAAAGCTTCAACAATCCATATACAGGGACCCCTTTAACTCTTTGGCCAAATACTAAGCTTCACAAGTGCTGGGCGAGAGTCCATGAGGTCAAGCAAAGAACAATTACCAGAGAGCTATGAACTCAACTGCTAGTAGACCTCTCACAGGCCTGGGAGACATTAAATGTTCCAACCACCTAGAATGGAGAAACCTCAAGGAACACTACAGACATTCAGCAGAGACCCCAGAAAATCTACGCTCTAGGAGTAGGACTAACCTACTCCTAAACGAAGACCTTAGGGTAAAGGCAGCCTTCTACATGCCCTAACAGAGACTGAAAGAAGCCTCAAAGGACCAAGCCGGTCCGCAAGTAAATTAACGGCCCGCCGGGGCAAAATTCAACAGTCTTTAAAGAAGGACAACAAAATCCATCCTTAATGCCCACAATCAATCAAAAATCACAAGGCACAAAAGAAGCAGGAAAATATAACCTGTATTCAGGAGGGGGCAAAAACCACCTATAAACTCAGAAATGGTGGTAGGGGGAGGGGGGAGGTAATTAAGAAACAGCTATTATTAATGTTTCAAAACATGAACAAAAAATGAGAATGGTGAATCTTAATAAATAAAAAACTATAAAAAAGAATCAAATAGAAATTCTAGAACTGAAAAATAATATAATTGAAATGAAAAATTCACTTACATAACAGTAGACTACACACTGCAAAAGAAAAGATCCGTGAATGTAAAAGTAAGGCAATATAAATTAACTAAATTGAAAACAAGGGCAAAAATTAATGGGAAAACTATATAAACAAGGCAGACGAGACCTGTGGAACAAAAGCTGTCTAATACTTCCACTTGGAGTAGCAAAAGGGAAGAAAAAAAATCTAAGAATGAAAAAAATTGATGAAAAGCATCCATACACAGATCCAAGCTCAATGAAACCCAAGCATG